ACTTGACCCTCCGGTAGCAAAGGTGGCTGGTTGTAAAAAAATATATATATCGATATATAAAAATAAAAATTTAATACATATACTTATATCGATATCAGTAAACATATAGTTAATAAAAATTAACCAGCTCCTTACTTATTCTACCGGTATTGATCTCCTTTCCTTTACCTTTGCCAAATATATCAAAGGCGGCTAGTTGAGAACTTTTTTTTTTTTACCAAATTCAGAATTACTACTGTATATCATCACTTGTCACACAGATCCTAAATAAAAAATATAAGTAATATGTCATCATTAAACAACTATAAAAGAATGTTCATATTTGAAGACATGGCCACGATGCGCTTTTACTTTCATAATTTGTATATCCTGTTCACTATAAATCTAGCAGGGCTCTCCGTTTTCATACACCAAGTAACTAAAAGAACATTCAGCTGCCAAAACAGCAGCCACAATGAGCTTTCTCTTAGATATTTTACACTAGCTCAGATATACAACAACTTGACATATACTTAATAAAAAATACTTACACTTTTATGGTGCAAATCACATCCTTGTTTCTTAGAAACTCTACCACTTCTTTAATATATATTTCCTTTAGCTGAACTTGATATTTTTCTTCATATTTATTCACTACTTCGTCGCTAACAATATATCATACATATATATAACATCTTTTAGATAAACCATTTTTCAATAGAAAAATTTCAAAACAAAAATTTATGAAAAAAGATATATTTAAGTTATATGAATCACAAAATTGGACTACTTATTCATTTGTCAAGATCAGGTATAACATTAAATAACTTTTAGAAATCCTTAAAGTTGGGTTAACCAAAGTTATATTTTTGATGAGAAGTTTATATAAATATCAAAAATATAGCTTATATAGTATGTAGATCATTATATTGAATCTACCTTGCTTTAAGAAACCCCTTTTTTTATATACAATAATAATAAAGCAATTAGTTTGAAAACTGCTTCAATGCAACAATCTAAAATAATTATCAAGTTGTGTTATTTTAGTCTATATGCTATCATTGTTTATTAATTCTAGTTAGTTCAGAATTGGCATATGCTATTTGTGAATCAATGAATAAGCATATTCCATTTAAAATTCAGTATGAATTTAACTGACTAAATTAGAACAAAAATTAAAAAACATTATAATATATGAAATTAAAGCCAAATAATTTTTTATTTTTTAATAAAAATTGACTGTTGTCTAATCGCCTTAAAATTAATGAATTGTGTATTCTAATAAACATGACAATTCAAAGAAACATCAAATTTGGTTAGATAAGTGTTGAGTAAACTTTGCTTAAAGCAGGGATACTGAAAATTGAATTGCAATTAAATTATTGCACAATTATATTTAATTGACATTGTTGCAAACAACAATTGCAAAACAATTAATTGCGAAATAATTGCAATTAATTGCAATTTTTATAATAAAAGTATCAAAAAAGTTACTGCAAAAATATAGTAACTAAAACTTCCATTAAAATGTAATCATATACATGTTTAATTTGGTAAACGTCCGCATTTTACCATTTTCTCTTAGCAAAAAGATTTTCCAACGTATATACGGATCAAGAGTCTTTCTCCAGTCCATATAATAATACTTATCAAACGCTTGAAAAAAGACCTCTACATAGCATTTGTTTGAACCTTTTGCGCTCATTGTAATCAGTTTAAAGATAAAGACTATTTTAGTATACGTGTTTTTAAAAGAACTTCTTTTCCAATCATATAAGATTTTTTTTATTTATCTGATCATATAAGTTTTTTTTATTTATCTAAATGTATATGCTTTTTTGTTTTCTTTATTAAATCATATAATAAACTTTTTTTTTGCCGATAATTTTGACATCAAGATCAGTATTTACAAACTTCGGCAAAAATTGCAATTAATTGTTTAATTATTGTTGCGCCACCAATCAATTAATTGAGATCAAATAATTGCAATTAATTGCCTTCACAATCAATTATTCGGTACCCCTGGTTTGTCGGACTGGTTCAATCACTATTTAAAAGAAAAATAAAAAAATATTAATAATCATACATGAGGAAAGAATAATCTTACCTTTAACTAACTACAATAAAACATCTTTGAATATTAATGCATTATATATACTTTTATTGCTGCACTTTCTCTACGAAGTTCTTTTATCACCGCCTAAGTAATTTAAATCAACATTTTACAAAAATAATATAATCGACAGAATAAAGAAAAAGTATAGTGAACTTACAGCTAACGCTTCAGGATTTACACCATTTTCACACAAATTTAAACATAAAGAAAGTGTGTCGCGATCCAATCCCGTGTTAAGAATGGTAGAAATTTCGTGAAGAACTAGATAGTGATTGAAAAGTGAATTAGTAAAATAAAAATATCACAAGTAAAGAGGTTAACAAAAGACATATAC